ACTACCTTGTTTGGCTATCTCTATGGCTACTGCTAGAACTGCACGACACCTCCTTGACATAGATTGAATCAGTTGTTGGATGTTTTATTGTGGAAGCCTTCTCCATTCCTCCTGCAGGATGTTGAACAACAGTTACCGCTATAGCCTCGATGGCGGATTACGACGTTGACGTACACGTTTATCTATCTGATCCCACAGGTAATACATTTCAGATCCGGGGATCTGGAGGGGCAGAGGAGGACATGGATGTTGTTATTGTCCAGGTAGTCCACTGTAACACGTGTTGTGTGAGGCCTGGTGTTGTTCTGTTGGTAACACACATATCCCTCGCATACAACACAATGTACTTTCTTCTTAACAGTATTTAGGAGTCAAACATAATAATAATAAATATACGGCCGACATCCTGTTGTTACTGGTCAGTCGTGCCTTCTAGTCTATTCAGTCAATGGCACGGAAAAGCTATCCGTGCACGTGATCTGATTAGGGGTCTGGAGTAAAATTGTTTGTCGAACGCGGTTGTTTTGTTCGCAAATAATGGGACGTGGGAGGAACTATTTCTGATCCAAGTGACCTGCATACTCGTATAGTGCACTGAACGAGATCTGGTTCGAAGTGTTTTCACAGCCTCGTGGCTTAAGCTGTTTATGCCTCCATTGATCAGAGATACAGATATAACTCCCTTGACAGGCGCAACAGAGTGTGGCGTAGGGGGATGAGCGATCGTTTTGGGAGTGGCTCAGTACTGAGTGAGTGAGTGAATTTAGTTTTACGCAGCTAAAAGCAATATTCCAATAATATCACGGCGAGGGACACTACAAATACGTTTCTGGTGTCCCAGTTGTACCCATGTGGGGAATCGAACCCGGGTTCTCAGCTTGATGAGCGAACGCTTAACCACTAGGCTATCCCACCGCCCCGGCTCAGCACTGATGGAGGTGGGATCACTGTGACGGGCAGAATACGTCATTCACGGACGTGTCACCGTGTCATCACTCTGGAACCATTTGATCACCAACATGGACGTCGTTTTGTGTTTCATGATGATAACGCAAGGGCACACGGGGCTCTTAACATTACTTAGTACCTATAACAGGAGTACACAACCATCATGGCTTGTGGCCCATAAAACATATCTGAGACATCCTTGGATGGCACATACATCACCGTCAACAACCACCGACTACTCTCAATGAATTGGAAGTAGAAAGAATGGGATGGAATGATCCAAGATGACTTTGGGCGTTTGACTAGCAGTATGCCTCGGCAGACCCGTGCTTGTCTTGCCATGAGAAATATTCAGAATTTTGACTTTTCAATGAAAATGAAGTGATGGATAGTATTGCGCTTTGGACAATAATCGAACGGCGTCTATGCTCGTCTGACGTTAAGCGACTAATGTAAATCTCAGCCAGAGGTCCCTGTTACACTGTTGAACTATTTATCTCAATGAAGATGAATATGTCAGTAGTTATGACAACTTCTTATTGAATATGCCTACATTTGTAATAGTGTATCTGAGTGAATACGCAAAGAGACTATCACTCAAGAGAAGTTTTACAAAAACTGAAACCAAATTAATTAACTGACTGTAGTTATTCTAACGTGTCCATTGCAGATACATTTTACTCAAATATACCGAGTGATCATTGGTGCCCTTTAAGTTGTTCAGAGCTGCAGAAAGGGTGCTTTCTAACCATGAAGTCTACAGTTTTAATATCACAAGACATAGTATTATACGATTATGGCTGGACTCATACAACAAACACATTTTTTTAAAGTCCATATGTTCATTGTTTATCTTTTCAAATGGTACAAAGATGACGAGTGACTGTATCACAAAACGATGTGTCAAGACAATGATATGAACCCCAAAGTTCATTAAACAGAGTTTGAATGGGTTTCACACTCATGTTATTGGTTAATTCAACACACGGACGGTAGAAATAATGTATGCCAATAATAAAAGATCTTAATGACAAAATGCCGACTTTGTTAAAATGCACACGCGATTTCCGAGAGGCCATCTCTGTTGAAAACAATGTATGGCTAGACTTTCTAACAAGACCAGCGATTTCATTGGATGATATTTTCAGAAGAACTAATCGAAGTGAGTGTTACAAACAACTACCAGCGGTTGTTTCTTTCTGCAGTTCATAATGTGAACAATTAAATAGTGAAATTCATTCTATAATCAACCCGATCCACTCGTAACATTTGACAGTTAGCTACGTTCTATTACTCACTTGTTTTTTACCGGTAAGTCTGGGTAAGCAATTCAACAACTATCCAAAGCATTCTGTAATTTCCTTTGCTCATTTAGGACGCTACAGATATATTCTAGTGCGTATTTACAAAATTTCAATGCGTATTTTACACAGATAACATCTTATCTAGACTTCTGCCAAAGTTCCATAAACAGAGGTTGACAGGGTTTTACACTGGTACTGTTGGTTACTGTTAAACACATGGAAGATGGAAATAATAAAGGATCTTAGTAGATCTTGAAAAGAACAGTCAGGCTTTACGCAGTGTTTTGGTCAAACTACTGAATAAATTCTGTTCTGTTAGTAGATCTGGTACTAATTGAAATGGTTTGTCAGGTCACAGGCGATGTTGCTCGAACATTTCTCGATGGTGTACTTGGTCCATCCCACCGCTTTTGCTGCATCCTCTGGGTTGTTGTCAGGAGACAGTTGGGAGCAGCTGTTGGGCGGTAACTGTAACTCAGGCAAGGCTGGGACAAATGACACTGGAGACAGCAGCCATTGGCGGAGGAAGCCGTGAGAGATGTCATCGGTTTTGAAACCATAGAGTTGAACACTGTATTGTACTTACTTCCTGAAAGCAAACAGTATGTCAGTCATGGTGAGGTGAGGTGAAATTGGGTTTTACGTCGTGCTGGAGAATATTTCGCTCATATGACGACGTGCATGCGTGTGTATGTGTATGTGCGGCTGCTTGTAATAGCCAAGACTTAAGCTGGTTTTATAGTGCTAGCCCACTGAGATACCATGCCGCAGTGAAGCATGAATACCCCACTCAGACACATTATACTGACTCCGAACCGGCCAGTCCTTATTGTACCCATTAATGCCGAGCGCCAGACAGGGACCAACAAGTACCAAATTTTAACGTCTTTTGGTATGACGCAGTCGGGGATCGACCCCGCGAGCTTCCACTCTCCGGACGGACGCTCTAACCACTACACATGTCAGTCAAGACTCAACATGATACGAGATGACGCAAACCGGTCAGATTACAAGAACTCCTAGAGGCAATCACTATCAAGGGACTCAACCCGACAATCAACAGAGATCAAGGTTATTACATCCCTACAGCTTACGACCAACTATTCACGGCCAATCAAGAATATCCCACCCTTTGTCCTTCTGGCTTTAATCATCTTTCTAATCACAACAGGCTTCATTATATCAAAATACTGTTTATCAACCTCTTCAACTGTATAAACTTATATACCCTTCAGGTATATATTTCTCCTCGTTGCATATATTGTGCATCTTTTGTTTGATAACGGTGTTGGGATCTACATCGAAACATATCATCCCTCTTCATCATACAAGCTTCTAAATGCCATTTAAAGATATGAATTATTCAGCCCAGAACTTGTATATATACTATCCAAAAAGGAAACGCATATGCGTTTTGTATGTTAAAAAGCTATTAATTACCTCTTGTGTTCAAACATTTGTCTCAATATGAGTTGATAACATGATTTTACCCAATTGCACAAGTAAACAATCGACTTTACCTGAAAATGTTCATTTTGATGAGATTTCTTACAAGGATTAAAAGGCATCGTCACAACGCAACCGAAGTCACCTTCCAGTTAAAATTGTGCAGCATAGAGCATGCACTGTCTGGCTATAAAAATCCAGATTACTTTCGGAAATCGCCATTCGTTTTGATTGCGTTCCAAGGTCACTACGCTACGTCTTGACGCTGCGACACGGAACATTGCCACTTAAAGAGTGCACGCTGGAGATTACCAACGCTATAGATTATCCACCTGTGAAGGTCCGGGTCAGAATATTGATCTCCAGCTTGTCGTAAGAGGGATCGGGTGGTCAGGCTCGCTGATTTGGTTAACATATGTCATCGGTTCCCCATTGCGCAGATCGATGCCCATACTGCTGATCACTGGATTGTCTGGTCCAGACTCACTCACTCACTAAAATTATCCACTTGGTTGTATAGATATTTCCTTCTTCTACAAATTCATGTACTAAAGTCTATTTGTGGACTATTTATACATGTTTGAAAATACATTTTCGCAAGAGATTTCTGGGTTATGCGTTTCTTATTTTGAATAGTATCCTTACACACAAGCTTAATATTTTCAAGAAAGAAAAGCTGATTTGACTGATGAAGAAAGTTCGATAGCTTGTGAAAGGCATGCCCATAGATAAACACATGTATTACCACTTGTTTTCAGGGACGTGCCTTCAACCTCAACTTCCGAAATGACAAAACACACCAGTGAGGTTTCTCCTGACCTTCACGAATCTGACTGGTTGTGGGTGAGAGCAAGTAAATGGAAGGTGTCTCCTATACCAACTACTTCTGGACACTGGCCGCAGATGAAGATGTCCACGTTAGGGCAGTCGATGCTGTCATCCGTAGACACACCCAAGTACGCACTTCCCAGATATTGTCCTATTTGATGCAAGATTAACAAGATAAGTTGTGAATGAAGCTGTTGGAAACATCTGTGATTAGCAGCGTGCAGTCAAACATAAAGAATTTCACAAGAACATAAACTGTAAAGATATGACTTTCCATGTCAAGCAACGTTTGGAATTATATGTAGGTCTGAATGGTTAATTTAACTCGGAGTACAGTGTGATATCAAATTTGTAATGCAGCATATGCTTGCATCTGTACTACTTAAGACTGAACATACACTTTTAAGTGGACAATATTCAAGTAATTTTATATACGACTCACCATGGCCATAGAAGACGTCACGCGTAACTGAGATGTTGTGGACAGTGAAGTATCCCTGTAGATCTCCCTGCCAGTAGGGATTCACAGTGGACCAGGTTCTAGCCGGTAAGGATCCGGGGTTACCATCATTGGCATTTTCGGCATTCCAGTAAACACTGTTGAGTCTACTGGGCTTTGTCAGCATAATGTTCTCCGCCCTGTTTACGAAACCACCTGAAAGTACAGTAATGCAAACATGTTTCATTCAAAATGAAATTAGATCAGACACTATAACAATTTGTGTGCAACCATCCAAATTCGAATCTCCATATTAGCACAGATTTGTCGGTGGGTGCTCCGGACTTCAGCTGACTTTTGATAGCCCATGTTTGTCGTAAAGGAAAAGGGTGCCCACTGTCGATGACTTTGTTAATGCATAAAATAAAATATTGTCACCATGCGATACGATGACAGAGCATGTATTTCAGCCATCGTACCCAGCTTGCGAAGATTGACGATCCAACTTCTCTAAATTGATTTGTGTACCTAACTGTCATAGAACAAAGAGTGGTGAATAAGTGCGTGTCTGTGTGTATAGATGGATGGACGTACGGATGGATGCCGTCATTGTAGAAATGGAAGTAGAAATGGAAGGAGTGGCGTACAACATCTTGAAACATTCATACTTGCTCACTGTCGTACCGTGGACTTTCCTGACACAAGAAAGGGACATTGCACATACGTTGATTCATGGTTTTGAATACATTGCGTCAAGAATGTCATTATTAACCATTCGTTCAGGCTTCAAAATGCCCGGTTATTTCGATGGTACTAAAAAATATTTCAACATTACATCAGGAACAACAGTAGCAGAAACACTTATCCGAGGCATCAACGGAACAGAATGTCTTGTTGAAGAAAAGGGGTTCTGCTTACATCGCCATATGATTGGCATAATGATATGGATTAGGTAGTGAAACAGTAAAATAAGACAAAAATCATTGGTATGTTTTTAGGTGAACACACACTATCAAATCTAGTATGTGAATACTTTCTATATACCTATTATGTGATGTCCTCAAATCTAGGCTACGTAACAAAGTATTGTAATATTATCAAATATTCTCATAGCGTCCTCATATATAGATTCCGTTTGAAAAGGGTACATGTATCTGATTGATTTGTTCCCTTGAACTGTGAGTGAGTGAGTTTAGGTTGACGCCGCACAATATTAAAACTATATGGCGGCGGACTGTGAAAAATTGCACACTACCAGACCGTCCAGTGATCAACAGCACGAAAATCGATCTACGTAATTGGGACACGATGACATTTGTCAACCAAGGCAGAGAGCCTGGCCCCGATCTCGTTAGTTGCCCCTCACTACAAGCATGGGTTAATGAAGATAAATTATAACCCGGATCTTCACGGGTCCCTTGAGCCGTGAGATACATATAACTGAATGTTTTGTTTTCTGACAACTTGGGATGATGTATTCATCTGTTTCTGTTGAACCATTTGTGAAACAAGATGAAAGAACTGGAAAGGTTTTTTTTAATCCTTTCCCCAAAGTATGCATCATGTATCTTTTTATCTTCAGATTCAGCACACATGCCATCGTATCCCAATTGCATAAAATAAGCATAAAATAAACAGAAATTACATCACGCAAAGTAGGACGGGTTGTTTGTTTGTTTGTTGTTTAACGCCACACTCAGCAATAATCCAGTTATATGACCATCCGATCCTGTTATCCGCCTCTAAGACAAGCATGGGTTACAGAAGATCAATTCTAACCAGGATCTTCATGGGTTGCGTTGGACACGGGGCTAACGTGTAACACGAGGTTGAACATCGATCTGCGCAATTGGGAACCAGCTATTTGACGACGGTTTGTAAATAATCGAGTCTTGACCAGACAATCCAGTGGTTACAGAAGATCAATTCTAACCAGGATCTTCATGGGTTGCGTTGGACACGGGGTTAACGTGTAACACGAGGTTAACATGCAAGCTGTGACGTTTTCGGTGCACCTAATTCAATGTCCCACTGCGGCTAATTCAATGTCTGATAATACTATGTGGCAGCATATATTGAAAGTTTATTTCTGATGATTGTTAGTGTACCATGCACGACTTCTTTGATGGGCATTTTAGAAGTTGAGTTGATGAGTGAGCGAGTTTAGTTTTACGCCGCACTCAGCATATTTCAGCTATATGGTGGCAGTCTGTGAAAAATCGAGACTGGACCAGACAATCCAGTGATCAATAGCATGAGCATCGATCTGCGCAATTGGGATCCAATGACATGTGTCAACCAAGCCAGCGAGCCTGACCACCCGATCCCGTTAGTCGCCTCTTACGACAAGCATTGGCTAGTGAAGGTTCATTCTAACCCGGACCTTCACGGGTCTGAGTTGATGAAGAATAATGACAATTTTTATGGATATACAACTTATTCTGTGAAGGGCGACGTTTCGATATATATTCTAATGTGGCCCTTCGCAGAATAAAAGAAGTTGTATGTCCAAAAAAAGTCATCATTCTGTACCATGCATGTCATGGAGTATATCCGACAACATGTGCACATTCGCAAATGGGCCGAGGTATGTTAACAGGCCTAACTTGGATTGTTGTTTATTACCAAATGAATTCTTCAAGGTTATGAAACATTTAAATCACTGTAAAACTATGGTGTAATTGTATCATCTTGTTTCTGGTAATATTCAGTACATACATGCTATATATTCGATTCCCTATATTGGATACAATGTGTGAAGCCCATTTCTACTGTCCCCGCCGCGATATTGCAAAAGCAGTGTAAAACCATATTCACTCACTTACACACTCACTCAAGTTCATATTTTTAGTCGCTCTTTAAGTATGAAACTAAACAAGATTGCTAAGGATCTAAATGTCATTATTGGTGGATCAATATTTGCTGACGTGTCAAATAGTGCTGATGTGACCTATTCGTGGAAAGGTAAACATCTCTTGCCCTATACGTGGTACCAGCAAAGAGCGTGCAAAACAAATCGTACATTCTCCTATAAAGACACCAGTTATGGTAAGTCAAAGGGAGGGAACAAAATCGGACTGTATTCGCCCATACTTTGAATACACAATACCTTCGCTTTGACGTTGTTTCATTCAAATTTGGAAACAAGAAATCATAACTTCTTTCAGTGACCTTAAAATTTGTAATGGCAAACATACCTTGTAGGAAGATAGAGAAAACAGCGAGCACAAGGTTTCTCATTGTAAGCGTCATGTTGATTCAGTATCTCGAAGTAGTTTGAATGTTTACATCTGTCACTGATACGTATCTATGATGGAAATAGATCCAAGCTGGAATATTTATGAAGAAGACTATAATATCAATAACAGTGATAGATTAATCGTTTCACTAATTAGCTGAACCAACTCTAATTATTGATTTAGACATGTCATTAAGTAACATTTGCCGTGACAGTTGCTAAGGAAAATAAACAGGGTCAAACTGTTCACGAAAAACATCATGCCATACTCAATTGTCATTTCATGAAATAAAACTGACTGAGTTTGGTTTTACGCCGCTTTTAGCAATATTCCAGCAACATCACGGCGGGGGACACCAGAAATGGGCTTCACACATTGTACTTATGTGGGGATTCGAACCCAGTTCTTCGGCGTGACGAGCCAACGCTTTAACCACTAGGCTACCCCACGGCCCCCTTGAAATAAAAGGAAATACTGTGCAAATGGTGCACTAAACATTAATGAATGAATATACTCAGCAGCCATTAGTCTTGGTAGACTGCTAACCTGGCGTGACAATAATTACAGTAAGCTGACGGGTATGAAACATTTTCTTGTGGGAGATTATACCAGGTCCAGATGTAGCACTACAGAAGATGGGATTCCTAAGGACAGGAAGGTGAGTTCGAAAAAAACTGGAATTTGACACGTACAACAAGCTCGACAACAAAGTTCGGAGGCATTTGAAAAAAATATATAATTTTTGTGTTTGTTATTTATGGCCACACTCCGCCATAGTTCAGCTATATGGTCTGCAAGTAATCGAGTCTGGACCAGATATTCCAGTGACTGACATCATGAGCATCGATGTACGCAATGGGGATACGATGACATGTGTCAAGCACGTCAGCGAGTCTGATCACCCGATCCCGTCAGTCGCCTCTTACCACAAGCATGGGGTACTGAAGATCAATTCTAAGCCGGATCTTTACGAGTTTTGAAAAAAGGATTTTTGAAATACTGCTACAAACAATATTTCAGCTAAATAGCCGTTCGTAGGACACAATACTTAATGTCAATAGATAATGCTCTCATGAGTGAGTGAGTGAGTTAAGATTTAAAGTCACATCGGCAATATTTCAGCCATATCGTGACTACTCTCATGCTTCAAGGTACAATTATTGATCATTTATATATTACCTGGGATGCATCTAATATATGAATGATCATCATTTTTGCGGGAAGGGCATAGGGAATGAACAATGCAAGCATTATTGTTACGCTTCCAAGAATATTTCCAGGTCATTTCTTCTGGATTAATTGTTCCCGGTGTCTGTGTCAGATTGATCAGTAAGGAAAAATACCACTGGAGAAGGCATAAGATAAGTGATATGCGATACAAAATGGTCGTAAGAGGCTACTAACGGGATCGGGTGTCAGGCTTGCTGACTTGGTTGACACATGTCATCGGTTCCCAACTGCGCAGATCGATCCTCAAGCTGTTGATCGCTGGATTCTCTGGTCCAGACTCCATTATTTACAGTTCGCCACAATATAGCTGGAATATTGCTGAGGGCGGCGTAAAACTATACTCACTCACTCAAACATACCTTTATATAAAAACAAAATCAAAAGACTATGAAAACAATAAATCTTCCCACATTAGCAAAGTAAGTAAACTGCAAATTCTTAACTAAATATTCTACTCCAAAAAGCACTGAAGAACTTAAACATCAACCACAAATCCAGACACACTGACAGGGCGATAACTAAATTACAAACAGGTCACACAAAATTCAAGTCCCATCTACACACAAAAAAAAATATCCACAAAAGACAAATGCACATACTGCAACGAAACAGAAACGTCCGAACACGTCCTACTACAATCCACACAATACGCAAATCAGTTAGTAAACGTAACCATAAAACCAAAAACAAAAAACCCATCAAATATCAACCAAGCCATTTTGTACTTCCGCTCCCTCTCCCTTGCGACTTCTGATAAATTCAATATTGCTGAGTGCGGCGTAAAACAAAACTCAATCACTCTCATAAATTCATAGAAAAATTAATTATGCAACCCTAACGACTCCTACATGTTGCCCTGTCTTTCCGTCATTATCACCTCTTTCGATCTCACACTGAAAGACTTGGCGGGCGAAATACGCATCATATTGGAAAGCGCACGTAAATCTCAAAAACCTACAATCAATCAATATTGGCGTGTTCTGACCCAGATTCTTTTTAGGAAAAGGGGGCGGTGGGGTAGCCAAATGGGTAAAGCGCTCGTTCGTCACGACGAAGACCCGGGTTCGATGCCTCACATGGGTACAGTGTGAGAAGACCCTTGCTGATGTCCCCCGCCTGATATTGCTGGAATAGTTCAAAAAGCGGCATAAAACTAAACTCACACTGTGGAAAAGTTCTAACCCTGTTATTGACTGTTAACAAAGTGAGAGAGGACATGACCCCTTTTGTTGTTTGCTGATGTTTCAATAGGTTTCATGACTGCCGACATGTAATCACTCACATTGATTCTTTTTTTGTCCAAATCCATTCATTCGGTCTTATATTCTTGGACTGTGTCTGTTACAGAACTGTGCTCTTGAGACAAGGTGTTCATATCAATAAATAAAGTAAAATAGACAAAGGAGTACAAATCTACTGTGTTAGTACTCATGATTAGCTGAGTACAGTGAAAGAAACTAAGGTATCGAAAGAGTCTGAACTCAATTACAACGCATATGTACGCTTGTTTACCAATTCAGTTCAATATAAGCTATACCAGCTGTAACAAAGATTGATACAGCAACAATCAGGCCTGAAAATCAGCCAGACACACAGACAGCTAATTAGACGGATTGTGTTCAATAAATAACCGGGAGTTCATTATCAACTGTACAGGAAACAATAACAAAATTATAGTTCAGTTCAGTTCAACGAGTACGCGAGACGGATCCCGTTACTGTTGGCTGTAGGTTGGTTTGTTGTTTAACGCCGCACTCAGCATGTTCCAGCTATTTGACGACGGTTTGTAAATAATCGAGTCTTGACCAGACAATCCAGTGCATGAGAATTGGAATCATCTGGAATGCTCTCCTTTCCACAATATTAGCAGAAAATGTATTAGTAACTCTTAGCATGACGACTGACGCGCACTACCGAGTATACTTTCTAGGAATACACCAAGTAGAATTTTGCTAATGCTGGAAAGGACTGATTGAAACTAGTCATGGTATGCTCGAGAACTCAACCAACGTTTGGAATTGTAGTCATTAACGATCACAATACATATTCATTTCCCGTCCTTTCCATTTTTGGACATAAAGAGTCACAATGTCGAGTTCCTAGCATATTAATTGCCATATCGCTTGGTACAAAGATCTTGGCAATGTAATCAAGGATACAATCTACGAGACTCAGTGTAGCCTTGTTGTATAGGCGGTATTGAATGACGGCATGGGATCGAGGTTGTGTGGGGAGAGTTTTGAATTCAAGAGTATTATGCAAATACATTAACGTGGTTATTCGTGTACCACACATGACTTCTGTCAGTTTTACAGTGCGAACCCATTGAGATACCATACCACAGTTCATAACGAATACCCGGTTTAGAGAGTCATATTGCCTCTAAGCGGGACCAATCCCCAGGTTGCTCCCTCTCAACCGTTCGCAAGGCAGAGTACCACATTTGATCTAGATTAGTGAGAGCATGATACCCTCTCAAGGATTGTATGACAAGAAACGCATTACATATTTGTTCATTCAATATTTGCTGCCACATGCTTCTGACGAATTGACAATAGCTGGTTTTAATCACTGTGTGGAAACGTGGTGGTCGACATTGACGTCCAATGTGCAGATTTATATTGGCCTAGTTTCAAGTTCGTTAATCATAAATTGACATCAGGTTGTTTTGACTGCTGCGGTGACACTTCAGGCAGTTTGAAATCAGTAATTGTAGACATATTTGCTTCTGTTATATGTTGTTGAATGCGGACTCAACATAGAGTAAGTGACTTTGGTGTCTTATCATACAAGGTACAGAGGAGGTAAAATGCAGAGATTGGATGGACTGGAATAGAGTTTACTAATATATTGCAGAGCCAGTTTTACCCCTATGATTTCAAGACAATGATCATCAGCTTCCACATGTAAGCTTTCTTCGACCTTAATGGTGAATGGAGTCAATTTCTTGAATATATAATATACTAGGTGAAGCATGTTTAAAAACAGCCACAATGACGCTTAGATATAACCAATGTTCTCCAGTGATAGAGAAGTCTTTGTTGGTGTCCACGTCATTTAGCATCTGAAGCTACCTTCGGTATATCGGGAGTTTTTAAGCATTACAATTTTAATGTCAGGAATAAACGTCCATTTGTTGCCAAAGATTATTCCTAAAACATTGGTCTCTTTGATCAATTTGATATGAATTATACCTAAGAATAACACTGGATGTATTTTTACTGTACTGCAAAAGTGAATACAACATTTTTGGGGGTTTTCTGTTTTCCATTAACCATTTGTGCATTGTGTTCTCGCAAACTTGTTGAAGTTGCTGTCTGTTAAAACCGCTCGTCTTTGTACCAATCAATATTTTCAGTTTATTTATGTTTCACCCGTTGCATAAGATGACTGTATGCAAAATAACACCTAGGCTTATTGTTGTTTGTTTGTTGTTTAACGCTGCATTTAGCAATATTCCAGCTATAAGGCGGAGGTCTGTAAATAATCGAGTCTAGACCAGACGTTGCAGTAATCAACGTCGTGAGCATCGATCTAAGCAATTGGGATACGATGACATGTGTCACCCAAGTCAACCAGAGTCCCGTTAGTCGCCTAACGACTGGCATGGGTTACTGAATTCTAAACCGGTTCTTCACGGGTATCAAGACTTATGAGATTCATTTGGACAACATTAAACAGTCATAAAGATATTGTTCGTATCCTGTGCAAAATATTAGTATACATGGAAATACATATAGCTAAATAGTGTGCATTAGCTAGTTAATTTTGTTCGTTTTATATATGCAACTATAACTGCTGAGACGACTGGTACATTTTCTGAGTGTAAGATACATTGGGTTTTGTTTAAATTAGCAGAAAGGAGTGAGTGAGTGAGTTTACTTTTACGCCACACTCAGCAATATTCCAGTTATATGGCCGCGGTCTGTAAATAATCTAGTCTGGACCAGACAATCCAGTGATGAACAGCATGAGCATCGATCTGCGCAATTGGGAATTCGAACCGATGACACGTGTCAACCAAGCCAGCGAGTCTGACCACCCGATCCCGTTAGTCGCCTCTTACGACAAGCATGGGTTACCGAAGGCTCATTCACGGGTCTAACAGAACGGAAGTAATGTATTAAACCTCATACAAAGGACAAAGTTTTACAACATGTAATTCATCTTCAATCTTAAGAGATTAAATGCCATTAAGATTATAATTACAGGCATTTTTCAGTTCTAATTATCCACGAATTGGTATAATTGTTGGAAATATTATATATTTATTGCTCGAACCGTTACATATATCAGTATAATCACTAAGCTTTACGCAGAGTCTAACAACATAGGGTCTACAAGGTACTGAAATTAGTGTGATGTCCCTTTATTCTAATATTTTGCATATCTGTTCAAGTGATATTTTCTAAATTGACGGGATTTTACTCTTTTCAAAGCAGTTTTGTTTCTTCTGTAAAGTAATCAAGAGAAGTTGTGTTTTAACACCTCTGCTGTACATCATCTATTCCAGTCGATTTACCATTGTCTGTTTGGTGTAAAACAACCAATACGAGACCTCCAACACTGAATAGAGACGCTCATATTAAATGCACGTGCAGCTCGCTCCCCTAGCTGAACACGTCAGGTACTGTTCGTCAACACAGCCACCGGCTTGAAAATACTTTCAAATATACAAAAATATGTATATTCAAACATAACATCATAGTCACAGTCTATTCAGGAAGGACATACGAATGGTTCAATCCGAAAGTCTGTGCTTTCTACATGTTATTTTGGCTGTGTTGGTTGAGTCACTCGGGAGCCCATACACGACACGTCCTACCGGTGGGAACTCCTCACACCATCATTTCTTGTACAATATAACTAGTCCTACATGTGTTATCATTGTACTTATCCCACATTTTGAAGTAACATGATTTTATGGGTTATATAAACCGAATTATCACTTCTTGTACAATATAACTATTTCCACATGTGTTTTCATTGTATTTATCCCATATTGTGCTGTGACATGATTTCATGTGTTTTATAAACTGAATTATCATTTCTTGTACAATATAACTATTTCTACATGTATTATCATTGCACTTATCAGAAATAACTTGTAAGCAGTAAGCATTCCACACAGAACTTTGTATTTCAACAGATTGTAATCTGGGCCTAGAGGCCTCCAATACTGATTAAAGACTTAAAGGCTAAAGATTTACCATTCTTTAACAAGAAAACTGCTCTCTGAATTTCAGATCTGGAAACGGATTTTGGCAAACAGATGTGTTTGTTTCCAAATTATTTTCTGGTAACCTTCGTCATAATCTCGTGGACATCCAGTGAATTTGCTGTTACAAAAAGTGTTTCATATGATTTTTTTTTATATTTTGATGGTCATAACAAACATCACATCGTCATTAACAACTTCTTGTGGAATTCCACATTGCCTCTTATTTACAAGTCTCAGCTTTCCAGTCCATTACAGTTTTTGAGAGTTAATCACATCAGATATAGTTTGAAAGTTAGAGGCTGTTACATTACATAAATATTTACGAAGAACGATAATATAGCTAACTACAGCTCAACCTGTAATTGACAGACGAAAAATGTTCCATGCCAATTTAACCAGAAACCCTCCACGTTACAATCAACAAGAAAGTCTAACAATAAACTGCTAAAGTGATTTCGTGTGTCGTGTCAGTGAGGTGTATTATCTACTCCCTGTACAAAATCAATATGAATTTGAGCCTACATTCCACACAAATACTGACTGACTGAGAGCAGATAATTATTGGCGAACTTTTACAAATATTTCTTTTCAATAACAGAAAATTCGATAAGCAGGATTACTCAAGTGAATAGATTGATCCTGTTGCACAGTCACTGTTAAGGCTAATATGACATTTTAATGACGTCCCAGTTACTACTCAAGTGTTCGTAGAGGAATCGACTTATTGCGAAAACGGTTAATCTATCACCATGATTGGTGTTGTTCTCCTTTCATATGAATAATACAGCTTGAATTGATTCCTGCCGATACAGATTCTGACCAGTATCAAAGGTATACCTTCAGACTACATCCAGTGGCGGAACAAGATGAGGCTTACAATGACAAACCCAGTGCTGGCTGTCTTCTGTGCCTTTCTACAAGGTATGTTTATTATTTTATCATTGAGATTGTGTAACCTAAGTAATTAACTCTTGGGCCAAATTTGTCAAATTGACTCAAACTGTCCAAAATGATTCCACGGGAAACTATGCCAGATGGTATTCTACTGTTTTGACTTGTACTACATGTTTTGGTGTTTTCAAAGTAAAATGTGTGTTTTGCATGTGCTTGTGCCGTTGCAGCCAATGGTTTTTTTATTAAGACATAAGGTTTATGGCCGAAGTCAGTAACTACAGAGTATGGGTTCGAATATCCGAATTTGACTGAAACAGATCAAGGGGAAGGATAGTACCATATGTTTTTGTGGTTTCAAAGGAAAAGGTTTGATTTAATTTTTATATACGCTTTTGCTCGTGCCACTGATGGGGCAAGATATGCTAATCTTTTGGGGAACACTTTGCATCATCACCATTTAACTGGGGTTCATTCACATATGTTCACGTTATGATAGGACTCGAAGAAAGGCGACAGACTCAAACAATCGTTTCATATTATTATGGAGAAGGTTTTTGTCTCTTTTTCTTACTTTTACGTTATCCACTCTGACGCTATGTCCCATAAACTGTATAGACCCAGCTGTCTTAGCCTCGTGTGGTGGTATAGAGCATAGTAAGTAATAGTAGTAATAGCAAGTAATAGTAGTAATAGTAGTAAGTATAATTTTTAGGCTCTTTTTACGATCAAGTGGTTGGACATATATTTCAATCTTAAGAGATACTGTTTCATTTCATTCGTGAATTATCTTGCATAGAACTGATACTGAAATATATCATGGAAATCTATAAACTTCCTCACCCTTATATGAGGGGCATATTGATCGTTACCTATGTCTCTGTTACATGTCTATCACTCGACGATATGTATCGGAGTTTCTATTCCTTCTCAATGGTACAATTGTCACATGCTATTCTACCCAAACAGCTGCCGAGGGTTATTAATGATAAACACACCATTTCATCGATGACGCTTAACAGAACACTTCTCATTTGTCAATGAAATGAAAAAGACTTGATTGACCATAGATCCTTAGTTATGTTTATTTGTGTTCGCAAACTATGTTTCTGTTGAATGTTTGTGGAGTATATAGCGTACATCAAAGGCTATATGTTGTGTCAGTATCATAAGCTAACAATAGTCAATTGTACTATTCATGAATGGTAAAGGTTTCTGTAAATGTTCCATTTAAGCAATAAAAAATAACGTTTCTTTTCGTGCCACGTTTCGAACTTCTGGACATTGGTTACAAAGCCTGATAAGAAAGAAGGTTTGCCTAGTGTCAGTACGTCTTAAAATCTATTCTTAAAATGGCGAATGCGTCTTTAAACTGGAATTATGTCTTTTAGATCTTGCTTGCATGATTAAAATGTATGTATGTATGTATGTATGTATGTATGTATGTATGTATGTATGTATGTATGTATGTATGTATGTATGTATGTATGTATGTATGTATGTATGTATGTATGTATGTATGTATGTATGTATGTATGTATGTATGTATGTATGTATGTATGTATGTATGTATGTATGTATGTATGTATGTGTGTGTATGTGTGTGTGTATGAGTGTGTGTGAGTGTGTATGTATGTATGTATGTATGTATGTATGTATGTATGTATGTATGTATGTATGTATGTATGTATGTATGTATGTATGTATGTATGTATGTATGTATGTATGTATGTATGTATGTATGTATGTATGTATGTATGTATGTATGTATGTATATATGTATGTATGTATGTATGTATGTATGTATGTAGCAACATCTATGATTTTTAACAGCCAGTTTTGCTATACATACATATACATGCATATGGTTTTCATTTGCAGGTTTTTATAAGTTTGGATAAGTAAAATACCTGATAAGTAAACAATTTTTGGCGAGTCCCTTGACATTTTACTTATCAGGTTTCCACTGTATATATATTCATAGTTTTGTAAGTTTGTATTTGGCCCCTCTAACGCACCATAAACTGGGTTTAGATATGCAATCAAAGGCGAGAATGTGTATCAGATTTCAGTTCAAGCCGTATTATTCATATGAAAGAAGTACAACACCAATCAAGACGTATCCGCTCTTGAGAAGTAATTGGGACGTCATTAAACATGTCATCTCTCTCTTGACAGTGTAACACGTGTGCCCACCATTAATCAAATATAAGTTTGCAATAAACTGTACTTACAGCTCGATAACTTGGAACGCCAATTGATTTCGTGGTACCGATTTCGTTCTTGATAAGCTAATATGGGGCCTCTTCATATGACAACTGCTCAAGGATGGCAAGTCATTGGTTTGTTGAATGCTGGTATCTCGCTAAGGGCGGCTGCAAGAGATGTTGCAAATCATCCGTCGACATTCAGCCAATTAACCAGAAAACATCAGCACATTAATAACGTTAAACACCGCGCCTGTTCCGGATAACCACAAATGACAATTCCCAGGAAGGATACAGTTCAGGGCCTCCTTTCACAAAGCACTAAGGTGATCGAAGTCACTAAAGTAACCTTAAAGCAATGTTAAAGAATGGAAGATAAGGTTTACCTAAGTAAAGGTTGTTTCGTAAAAGGAGCCCCAGAAACACAAGACTTCATCTGTTTATGTCAAGTGACGTGTTAACAAAGAGAGTTTCTTCCGTTTGGTCGTTCGCAGAAAGGTTCAAAATCGCTAAAATCAACTGGGTATAGAGCCAGACGACCTATCAGACGTCCGTTGTTATTCCATGCTGTTTTGTATGGTGTCAGCCTTCTATGGCTATCTATAGCCTGTTTTTATATTGTATTGCTGTTTAGAGTAATACTTTTAAGAGTAATTCTGTGATATTCTAGTCAGGTTATCGTCGTTTGATGACAGATAGTTATTGCATCTAAGTTGACTTATACATGTATTAATATATATAGCTTTCATAGCTACGATATCATTGAAATAGTGCCGTCAAATGACAGCACCTGTTTACGTCATATGACCATACTTATGAGCACTTCAAATCGCGCCAGTTTTTGGCCGTAAAATGACTATAAAATTACCAAATTTTCCCATGTTTTCTTTCTTTTTCCGTTTAGATTTGCCATTTAAGTAATCCTTAAGGGTCAGTTTGTCCAGATAGTAATAGAAATTGATGTTTTAATATATTTTGATACTGTGAAAACGATTGGGTGTTGCGATACTTTTTCCCATGAGTATATATCTGACTGAGATTATCACATAGACTCCATGACCATTTGTGCTCAAAGCTCAGGACATATTGGCTGAAAATAGCCGAAAATAAAATTTCAGCATTGAAATACTGGCACCGACGTTACCGTTACTATATTGGGGCGTGCGAATTCAAACACAACCCTACAAAGATCTGTTGAACTGTTATTTAACAAAGAAAGAAAAAACATCAATTTTGATCGGTCAATAGGAACAAGACTGACAAAATCGAAGGCGAAATCAAGAAATCAGTACGTACAGAACTAATTGTGAAATCAGCTACCGAGATCGATAAATAATCAAACAATTATATTGAAACATTCGGGTAGGTTTATAATGAAACGGGTAATGACTACTAGCGAAGTAATTCGGTAATCCAGAATTCTGTTCGAAAAGGAATTAAGTTTGAAGCGGACAACATAGCAAGGGGATACGATTAAGAACAATATTCAAACCTTACAAAATAATGCAATGTATTACTCACGCAGTTCTCAACAGCTTGCTAGTGTAGGACTCAGTAGAGAATGACAAAAAAAATGATCTTCACACATCTGATCGTTTTGGTGTAATATGAGATCGTAGAGGCTCGCTCCTGCTGATTAATTAATGTATGATTAATTATTAATTTTGAATAATCTTCGCTGCCCGAGACGTTTCCAGATTACTCTTGACTCCAAATCTCAGTATAGTCACTGGCGCACAACCTCTGAACTGAACTGAACTTTATTTACACTCTGGTAGCATTCTGTGGCATTAGAGAACATCAACTTATCAATATCAATATTATCGACAACTTATATAAGTTACATACATGTAAGACACATAAAATGGTAATACACTGACGGGCAAAATACACTATACCAAAATGTTTATTTCGATGTTTTGATTTTTTTACACCGAATTTTGTTTCCAAATTACAGAAACATATCACCCGAACACAACACACAACATTCTGATCCTAAGCGAGATGAAAATGTGTTGATTACCGCGTAAACTGTTTTAATGGTAAAAAATCTAATGCATATTCATCACAAGATCGAAATGCTAATGGGTATGAAAGCCCTGCAGTCAGTATCCCAAAGGCCATAAGAAAGACGATTACATCAAGTGACATGCCGAGATTAACAGCAGAACAGCGCGAGAGGGCGATTGGTATGCTCCAGCTTGGAGCCAGGCATCATCATGTGGCAAGGATCTTGCACTCGACAACAATAACAAGGCTCCAGACCAGACTGAGGCAGACAGGTCGTACTGTTGACGGGCCAAGGAGCGGCAGACCACGAGTTACCACTGACAACGAAGATCGGCACATGCGTTTATTGCATTTACGTAATCGCTTCGTTACTGTGACGTCAACAGCAGCAACACCATTGAATCATGTGGTCAGTCGAAGAACAGTTAGAGACCGTTCATAATTTATGGCTAGGGGGGTGATGATGATTTTAAGGGGGGTCACCCATTTTGTTCTGGGAAGCTAGGGGAGGGTCAGCAATCTTGTACATAAAAATATGTTTAAAATTATGCTTAGAAATTATGGGAAGGGGAGGGGGTCATTGATGGTGTACATGACATGCAGGGGGTTCACTTATTTTGTACGTGAATTTTAGAGGGGGGTGGGGGGAGGCATTCACATTGTACATGCTTCTACATGAAAATCATCACACACACAACTAACCATAAATTATGAACGGTCCCTTACTAGACGACTACGACATTATGGTATTTATCGTCCGTTCCGTGGGATGACCTTGACCCCTCGTCATCGACGTGACCGGCACCGGTGGGT